CGCTGGTCAGTTTCAGCAGTGGCTGACTTGGGGACGCCTGGGGCAGAGCAGCTGGGGTGCTGCCGGGTTGGTCCAGTAGCGCCGAGGAACAGCGCTGCGGGACCAACCCAGCAGCACCCCAGCAGCTCTGCTCCATGCGTGTCCGAATCAGCCGCTGCTGGTCAGTTTCAACAGCGGCTGAATCTGGACGCCAGTTCCGACTTACATACAAATTCAACTTAAGAACAAACCTACAGTCCCTATCTTGTACATAACCCGGGGACTGCCTGTACTGTGCTATCACTGGACAGAAAGCAGAACATTTAGGGAGGGAGGAAATGCTACACAGAAAAATAAAACTAGAAGATTATGACTTTTACAGGGACTGATCCAAAGCTCACTGAAATCAATGAAAGATTCCTATTGACTTCAGTAGGTTTTCAATCAGACCCCGTATTTCCATACAGGCCTTATAGTGATGATACTGTTAGGGTGCATCTACACAGCACCCTTGCTTGAAATAAGCTACGCAATTTAAACTACATAAATTGCTGTAGCTTATTTCGTGTTAATTTCAAAATAACTTATTTCGTAATTTGGCGCTGTCTACAGAGTCAACTTTTGAAATAAACTGTTCTTCTGAAACATCCCATAATCCTCATGGAACAGGGACGTCAGAATAGTGAGACCATTATATTTTGAAATAATGGGCTTGTTTCAAAGATGTGGAATAGCTATTTCGGGATACTAGACATATCCCGAAATAGCGCCACAGTGTAGATGTACCCTTACAGTTTAGTCAGACAAGGTATCTGAATTAGGACCTTAAACTCAACTATTTTTTAGGGAACACAATCTGCATTTTACTGATTAACTGAACTTCTTGACAATGGAAGTGATGCAGTTTACAGGCCAGTCCACTGTAATATTCATATTTGTATTCAGCTAATTATCCTATGATGACAGCACATCAGATAGACACATGCAAGAAGTACATTGTAGATATCAAATTGACTTCCCTTTTAAAAAGCCTTAGTATGTATGGTGTGCTTAAGTCTTACTTTAGACAGAAAAATTCTGTCTGGCCTACGTAGCAAAAGAGAAATGTATAATACGCCTGATGTGCCTTCTCCAGAGCCTTTGTCCACTGAGCTGCAGAGGGTGGGTCTCAGTAGAAGTAGCATGTTCCATATAGAATCCAGACCTGCTCAGAACTAGTATGTACTCACCCCACTGATAATACCTTCAGGCAATTTGTAGAGTCAGCTATGCACAGTCCCTTGGCCAGCCAGAACACAGGCACAAAGTAAACAGAGTTGTTAATAGAAAAACAGCGTGAGTTTGTCCTCATTTGGGGGTAAACCCCAGTCAGCCAGAATTTGGCAGAAGAAAAATATTTTGAGGAATCATAGTGGAACTTGTTTTCCAAAGTTTTATTCTTAATCTCTCTAAAATATATTACTGTTTTGAGAACATTCTAACATCGTAATCCATAAAATATATTCTCTTTTCTCACTTCAGTGTGCAAAGTACAAAAATAAAACAAAATGGTTTGTTGAAAGATATCAAAGATAGGAAGCAAGTCTGTTCATGACACTAGTGTCCATTTTCTAATGCAGAGTGCACAGTGAGTTCAGAGGCAAACAAAGCAAGGTGCCTTTTTGTATTCTTTTTTGCAGCTGGCTGATCGCAGAATTTGACTTCAATGTTACCATCACTGAATGCTTCTCTCCTAGCCTCTAAAGCAGTGGGCTCTCTTTGAAAAAGATTTGCCTTTTGCTGAATCATAGTAATCCCCGAGTTTCCAGGTCGCCTGGAAGGGGATGGGTTTTCCTTGACGGTACAAAAGCAGATTGCAGAGAGGAAATTTTTCTTGAAGTTCTTGTTCATAAAGGCATAGACCATAGGGTTACAAATGGAATTGAAAAACCCAACGATCTGAACAATTGCAAAAATCATCTTGATTGTGACATCGTCATACTCACTTTCAAAATTACCTGGGAAAAAAGAAATATAATTATATAGATACCCACACACTGTATCTATTTAAACCCACCCTTGTAAATTAGAAGCTCTTGCTCAGCTTCAAGAAAAACGTCTTAGATGTGTTTATCCATTTTAATAAAAAGTTTTGACCAGAAAGCAAAAAAAGAAAAAAAAAGAGTCATTCATGAACTGCAAAAGTAATAGACACAAAGCTACCACTCAGTTACACACATTGTTCCCTATGTTCCATCTTTATTTCAGATTTGTAAATGCTGTTTTTGTCACCCAATACGGTCCTCTGGCTTTTTTACAACTCATTCACTGGGAAACTAGCTCTCCTCTATGCTCCACACTTTGGGTCCAATCCAGGATGCATATAAGCCAGTAAAGCTCCAGCCATTTAAAATAAATATTAATGATGAGTATTTATAGAGTACTTCACATGTTCAAAGCACTTTAAATAGTAGTTGGGAGTGTGGCCTAATAGAAAGTGAACAGTATTGGGACTAACAAGAGCTGGATCCTATTCCCAGCTCCTCCACTGGCCTGCTGGGTAAATCGCTGTACCTCAGTTTCCCCATCTGCAAAACAGAGATAATGATACTGACTCCTTTGTAAAGTGCTTTGACATCAATGGATGAAAAGCTCTATAAAAGTGAGTTATCAGCTAGGTAAATACTACACCCATTTTAAAAACAAAGGAAAAGAAGCAAGGAGAAGAGACAAGCCAGGCAACAAGTCAGTAGCAGAGTTGGGATTCCAATTTAAAATCAACTCATAGTCCTGTGCTTAACTAACCAGGCTTTACTTCTGTCCACCTATACCAACAATTGAATTCATTTCAGAGTCTCATCTATGGTTAATGTAGAAGTAGGGTTTTGCCTTCAAGGAACAGAGTGACCTGGACTTTATACAAACATGCATGTCCTCTTGCATGCACAAAATCACCTCTGGAAATGAATTAGAATCTGGTTGTAAATAATAACACTGATTGTCAGGATACGGCTTAAAAATACAGTATTTACTGATAATCATAGTCAGTCACATGCTGCATAAATACAGAATTCCAAAAATATATAATTATGGTTCACACTGAAATAGATGTAATCAGACCAATGTCCATTCAAAGTTAAACACATGAAATCAGTTTCTTCAGTGAAATGGAAATGTTGGTCCGCTATCACTCTCTCTCTGTGTCTCTCTCCATTCATAAAGACTTCTAAGAAAATGCAAGTTACATTCCCCTATTTCTCATGGGCTCCAACTTTTGAATATTCAATGTAATAAAATATTAAACATTGATTTTCCTCTTAATTTTTCCAAAAGAGGTGTTCCCAAACTAGAAAATTAAAATGAAAGGTGACAGATTTTTTTTTGCTTTGTTATTTAACAATAAACCCTATTGATCTGGCAACAGTCCAAGTAGCAGAGAGAGTGATTAGTGACATGGAGAGAAGTATGAGGTTAAGAAAACTACAGGCTTATCATTCAAAAAAGGAACATTTATATATAATGGTTGGTTGACATTGGTTGGAATGAACCATGTGTTTTCAATTGATTAATCAATGGAGGACGAGAAATGCATCAGCCCCATTGTTCTGTGCTGATACTTAATTGCTAGTATTTTAAAGTAGATCTTTGGTATTTGAGGCCTGGCAGGTGTCAGGATCCCCAATCTGGTTCAAATTTCTGAGACAATCAAAGCAGTATCCAAAAATTTCTTGACCCAAAACCCACAGATAGTCTCGGATTTGCAATGAATATGTTTTGACCTGCAACAACAACAAGGAGTCGGGTGGCATTTTAAAGACAAACAAATGTATTAGAGCATAAAGCTTTCATGAGCTACAGCTCATTTCCTCAGATGCTGAAGAGAAAAAGGCAGACAGACAAAGCGGGGGGTGGGAAGGGGAGGATACAGAGATGGGAGTGTGACAACAGTGCTATTTAAAATCAGTCTGACACTCTTTGGGGTAGTTAGAAGGGTTATGGCACTTCTGGTATTTCCAGTGCTTGCATTTCTGCCACTTCTTGAGCACGGCACTCACATGCTGATTTTGCTCCTCCTCCATGCACCAAAGGGGAAAGCAAGGGAAAGGCAAGCCTGACAGGGGCCTCTGAGATCCTGGGCACCAGAACAGGTCTGCCGGCTACCAATTCCTTGTCCTGTGAGATATGGCACAGACTTGAGATGAAGCAACGGTAGGAAGGAGACATTTTACATTCAGATTTGGGAGCAGGTGTCAGTGTTTTTCTCATCTGATACCAGCTGTGTTAATTGCTGTCCCCAGTAAGGGACTGTGATGGGGCAAAGAGAACCCACAACTGCAGCAAAGGAAAATCTATGGACCCCACTAGCTCTCTCTCACTATATCTGCAGCCAATGCCAAGCTTAGAAAGAGGGATACAAGGAGAGAGACTGACTTAAGTCAGGGCTGAGAGAACTAGTCGTAATGAGAATCAGAGTAGCTGTGAAGTGAAAGGAAAACAGAAGAAAACAATGGAATATTGAACAGCTGGGAGGAAGATGAGGAAACAATTTTAAATGAAAACTTCAGTATGAAGTTCCAAAAGCTATAAAAAGAACAAAAATATTACTCCAGGCAGGAAGGTACGAGCTTTGAAAGGCTTAAACACCTATCTGATAAAACTCTGTGGATGATACTAAGACTGGACAATAGAATATGAGGAAGAGATTTAGGTTGGATATTAGGAAAACTTCCTAACTGTCAGGGTGATTAAGCACTGGAATAAATTGCCTACAGAAGTTGTGGAATCTCAGATTTTTAAAAGCAGGTTAGACAAACACCTGTCAGGAATGGTCTAGATTAGATAATATTTAGTTCTGCCATGAGAGCAGGACACTGGACTAGCTGAGCTCTCTAAGTCCCTTCCAGTCCTATGATTCTAAGCTTCCCCCAGTCGGGCTTTCAGTGCTGCCCAGCTCACACACCCAGAGTTCTGGCTGCTGCTGTTCCTGCTGTAATGGCCAAGGTGGGAAGGAGTCCTGGACCCTATTAAATCTCCAGACCCAGTTACAGCTGATACTTTTGCCCCTCCCCTCCTAATTAGCAGCCATGCCTCTATCACAGTGATTCTTAACTCACAGGTCCCATGCAGTCCAATTAGCACACAGTTACAGCCCAGCTGTGTGCTAAAAATATCCTGGTTCCTGCTGTCTGGTGCCATTCAGCCAGATTCACAGCCTGACCCCACATGATGGGGTCCAGGATCTGGGTCCTGGTTGCTTGGCTCCATGTCCCATTGTGTGGAGAGGTCTCTGGGTGGAAGGTGCGGGGCATAGGGGTCTGTGAGAGATTTTTGTGGGGGGACACGATGGCATTAAATCTGCAACCCACATAGTTTGAAACCCACTGCTCTATCACCAGAGACAGTGTTTATTATTCCAGATTTAAAAGCATACATTCACTCTCTCTATCTGGTAATGGGTGCGTTAGATACAATATCAGTGATTCCATTACTGAAAAATAAAGAAACACTCAAAAAGGAAATGCTTTACTTTTCCGAAGTGTGGCAGATACTCACTGTATTCTATCATCATGTGAATCACATGGAAAGGGGCCCAGCAGACTGCAAATAAAACCACCACCATCACCATCATAACGATTGCTCGCTTCTTCTTCCTGAAATTACACTATGGTAGTTTTTACAGAATAACTTTGAATAAACTGCTGATTAACTCAAATGCCTCAGGATCAGTTTCTAAAGGTATTTAGGTGCCTCAAGATGCAGGTAGGCACAAAGGTGCCCATTTGCTTAACCCTCCTTGAAATCACTGTATATTACTGACTCAAATTAAATGAGTAATAAATAAACACAGCCATGTCATATTTTCCCAATGCAGGATCTAATTTGAAATGCAAACTCTGCTTACTTTCATGAAATTGCACTAAAACTCTGCCATTTACTTATGCAGCTCTAAATATTTGGTACACTGAATGCAGTCCCTCTCCCACATTCAGATTATTGATGAGAACCCAGACTTCGAATTATTTTCAAAAGTGACTAGTCATTAAGTGATTAGTCTGAGGGTCCAATCTGCAACACATTAAAGTGGCTTGACTTTCACAACATGGATGCTAAGCATGGTCTGAAAAAAAATCAGGCCTCTCCTTGGTTGTCTGGAGTAGGGCACTCAAATGGAGGTACCGTAATCCCAGAATGCCAATGCCTGAATGCCAATTGGCAGAGACCCTTTCTCCCCATGCACATCGTAGCTCACATTAGACCTGACACACTGATTGCCCCCAACAACGCTGTAATAATATACATCCCAAGGGTGCTGTGTAAGGTATCCTACATAAACTGGTGATACACAATCATTGTAGGGTATACATCTGGGTTGTGCATGAGTTATAGATGTGTGCTGGAAATAAGGTCCTAAAAGGTGTTTGGGAGGCAGAGTGTAACCCCAACCTATCCTAGACAGAAAAATGTGTATTTACCTATCTGAATAGCTTGGTTACAGGCAGCAAACAGTGAAAGCACATATACATAAAAGATAAATAAAGCCATCAAACTAAACAAACAGGGGTGGAGAAAACAATCACAGTGAGGGACAGAAACAGCACCCCAGGAAACCTTTCTGGCTCCAGAGGAAGAGACAATGGACTTTGAGTAATTCAAGGAGATCAAAAAAACATTCCGTTTTTCATAACTGAGGGGATAATGGAGTACAGCCTCTTATGAGCTATAAAAGCTAGGGCCTCTTGACCTAAAAGACAAGAGCTGCTGGAAACTTGATGCAAGTGAAAAACCTGCGTAGACAAAGACTGTAACTTGCTAAAATTGAGTTTCAGTCACTAGAGAGGTACAGTTACAAATAAAACAGAATACTAACACTTAAATATCTATTCATTAGTAATAAAATAATTTGTTTTATTGCAAAATAAACACAATGCTCTGTATTAACAGTGGAAGGCAAATCATCAGCTAACTGAACATACAGAGTCATGCACTGTCTCTTTTGTAATAGTGAACTCAGTAACTTTAGGAAAAGCAAGATTTGGATGGGCAGAATCCAGAAGAGTTTACTGGCAAGATAGACAAGTTATTGTGTTGGGAAACTGAGGTAGAGCAGTACCACATTGGCTCACAGTTCTAGGTGTCCAGAGCCAGAAATCACAAGCAGTATAGTCTGGCAGTGGGGTCTCTGATGGAAGGGCGGAGCCAGGGGTAGCCAGCTCCCTCCCCAGTTCCTGAGCACTCAAAGCCACGCTGAGTGCCTGGTATGGTGCTTCAACACTAATTCTAAGGAGTCTGGGTATCTGGCCACTATCACTGCTGCTGCAGTAGCAGAGTTGGCATCCAAGAGCTCTGGGCCCCTTTGAAACACCAGGCTCCAGTGCAACTGCCCCCTTTGCTCCCCCACCCCTTTGTTGATGGGCCTGTAGTCTGGATTTACATACAACTTGCTGGCTGACTAAGGTTCACACCTCAAGCCCTGGTAATATAGATGTGTAAGTGATTCAGAGAAGGCATTGATAGAGAGATTGGCATGCTGTATGCAAAAGAATAAAACTCCTGGCTTTGGGAAGCTTTAAAACCTCTGTGCCTTTGCATGCCAAGTACACTTTAGCTAAAAGTCTAGTATACATTTTAGACGTTGGTGTACAGGATTGCATTCCAGCAAAAATTCCCAGGGGAAGTAATGTATTAATTATGTCTAACACCTTTAATATGGTAACCTGCAGCAAAAGCAAATATCACTCTGTAGTGTCAGGAAGGAACTATGAAGACGAAGAAACAACTCAGGGAGAAAGGACATCCCTGGCTCTAACTTACCAGACAAAGTGAGTCTCCAGGGAGAAGGGGGAGAGAGGCTCCAATCAGTGCAGAGAGACAGCCCTAGACAGCATGAGACCTATCCTTAGGGAACCGCAGTTGGGGAAAATAGGAAGGTTTTTTTTGAAGAGGAGAGAAGAATGCATAGAGAGAGTCCAATGGGAAAAAATTAAAAGTACTGGTAAGCTTTACAAGCAGTTGGCTTTGCCTGGTAAGCATTGCAGGGAGTTAATGACATTAGTCTACAACTGTCCTTTTGCAGGCCTCTTGGGGACTTATGAAAGATTGAAAAGCAATTTTTATTGCACATATATAAGATAGGAGATTACTGTAGGTTTGTGATTTATATCCAGAGTTCAAGGACCTGCATGGTCTCACAAAAATCCCATACAACCCTTCCCTCTGATCAAGTAGGCATGTCTTAAGGTGGAATGATATTGTGGAACCTATGCCTCAGCCTACCCAAAGGAAAAAGAAATATATTTTGGTGTCTGAAGGGCTCCTGGTACCCAAAACCATGAGTCACTGTTGAAAATTTTGGCCCAAAGGTTAAGTTTAGGGCTACAGTTAAGGTGCCCAGAAATCACAGTAGTGTGTTATAAACATGGATGGATCATTTTATGTAGTTTTTTCAAACATCTGTAAATATGTGATTTAATTATTTGACAGCTTTTACCTCACTCTTTTAATGCAAAAGATAATTAATTAATTTATGGTAGACAGTCTAGAGAATATTGTATTTTAAACATCAATGTTGTTATATCTATTCGAGCACATCCAATTCTGATATCTAGAGAGGGACAAACAGCTCAAAAATCCATGATAGATCAAAAAGATAGATCTTTTTCTGGGCTCTGGAATACTGACTGTCTCATTACTCCATCCATGTCCAATATAGGTAAGGAACTGGATGGAACCTTACTGCCTGATCATTTTTGTTGCTTGAGGATAGTTTTTGGAGGACTGGGGTCTGTCTATACCATCTATTAGGGGTACTTGTTATGCTTTCACCAGAACACTTTGCAGGCTGAGGATGTCTGAATTTATTATTACTCATGAACTCCCAGAGAACATTATTACCACCATGAGTTATGAACCCAAGATAAATTTGTACCACTTGAGCTACAGTAATAGTTCCACTAGCAGGCAGAAGGAGTAGAATCTTATTCTCTATGCGGAGGAGTTACTAAGTGTGGGTGGGCGCCCACTTTACAAGAACGTTACATTACTATTTTATTCCATTTTGCAATTTCATCATTATCCTCATTTTGACTAACGTTACCCACTTGACTGAGACATCTACTTATTATTCTCCTTGGATTCCATATTTAATGTGGTACTCCCCTGTTTTCTGTGCACACACTACTAGAAGCTGCCATCACACTAGGAAACAAACTTGCCAAATTAAATGAAAATTGCACTGTAATACATAAAATAGGGCAATTGCTATACTAAATTGCAAAGAAGTGTAACTAACCATGCTCTTTAGTTGTCTGCTTGTTAATTATTCATTTTTTTTCACAGCATTTCAAACTAAGTTGCCATCTGGATGGTCTCACGAGGCACACACAAAAAAAAAAACCCACAAACCTGAGGGCATTTAGTTCTCTTTAGAATCTGCCATAAATTAGAGTGTATCATGTTAGCTTTCAGATAAGTTCTCATTCTTTTTTATTTAATGTGCTACTTAGTCTGTAAGAGGCTGATAGAACAGTGATTATAGACACACAGTTAAATAATGAACTCGCCTTAGAAAACTTTTGATATTATTCATCTTATTACAGGTGCATTCTAAAGGGAATTGTATTTAATTACTCCTAATCTGCCTCAGGAATATAACAAACTGCTGCTTCTTTCCAATTCATGGCCTGCATTTTAAGTATCCAGTGTGGCACATCTTAAAAGAACCCAATTTTCAGAGTATAGGTTTTTAGTAATATTTGAAAACCAGACCCTTATAAAGTGTTGCAAATTGGGCACCAAGTATTAAATCATTAGTCATTTTTTAAAATCGTGTCCATCACTTCCCTTGTTTCCAGTTCCCAGATTTGCTTTTCCAAACTCAAAGTTCTAACTATATGTGTTTATTGTACAAACCTTGATATTTTAGACATTTCATTCCCATGGATGGTTTGAAGAACGGAAGCATCTCCCACTCGTTTCTTAATCCAGAGTTCATATCCAATCTTACTGTAGAGCAGAAGCATCAGCATCAGTGGAACAAGGAAGAGTATGACAAGAATGAAGGTGGCATATATCTTTTGATGAACAGCACTGGTCCACTCTTCCAAACAACAAACATGCTCTTTTTCATACAGAAAGTCATATTTAATCTGTAACACATGAAATAGAAGTGAGTCCACTTTAAGAAGTACCCTAACTATGAAGAATGTCACATTTTCTAAAGACCTTTGCTTTATAACCTGAATTCAGTGGAGAGACCATGCAAGTGAATTCAGTGGAGAGACCCCGGGCTCAGCTGTGTAGGGCTGCCCTTTGAAATGCGGAGGCGGCATTCAAAGGGCAGCAGCTTCACAGCTGATCCCCAACGGCTCAACTGTGCAGCTGCTGCCCTTTGAACTCCACCTCTGCATTTCAAAGGGGCAACCCTGCACAGCTGAGCCCGAGGTCAGCTGTGCAGCGCTGCCCCTTTGAAGTACCCTCTTCCCCCCCCCCCCCCCCCCTCCTAAGGGGGAAGGGGGAATTAACCAGTCGACTGACTATCTGATAAACTTTTACTTATCGACTAGTCCTTAACATCTCTAATACAAATCAATAAGTTAATGACAAATTTAAAACATAGAACTACATAGTGGATGAAAGAGCAACAGTGTGTCCAATTTATTTAGCCTTCCATGAGATTTTGATAAATAACCTCATTGGAGTGGTTGAACCAGTGCTTGTGACAGGAGAGATCATCTAGTCAGGCCTCTGCTAGGAACAGCAGGGACAGGTTGCTGAATGCAAGGAGCTGCCTGAGGTGAGCACCCCCATATCTGCGGCCTTGAAACCTCCTACATCCAAACTTCCTTCCAGAGCCCATGCCCTGCACCCCTTGTGCCCTGCACTCCCGCCCATGTTGCACCCCCTCGCATACCCAAACTCCCTCTCTCTTAGTTAACCTGTGTTTTTCCATTTATAAACACTCCCCATTCCCCAACATGCCAGCTTTTAATGCTAAATCTGAAACAAGGACTCCCTCTGAAAGTGTGATTACATTATATGTCATAACATACCTCCAGTCGCTGCACATGCCACATAGGTGACCCAACAATAACTGCCAGCAACCAAACTATTCCTGTAAACAAATAAACATCTCTTTAATGCTCAGCAGCACTAGGAACGTCACACAAATTCATTTTACTTTTAACTGCTTCAATTAGCAAAACACAGTGATGTGGAATTTCATGTTGCAAACTAAACTCTAAATTTACAGTCAAGTTTGATAGTCAACATTTGTGGACAATTGACTTATTGTAGATATGAAAAATAGCAACACTTTTCATCTAGCCCCTTCAGCAGGTGTTTCCTTCCCAAGTGTCTCAGAAGCTTTCATTCTAAAGGGCAGCTACATTTGATTCCCAGACAACATCTGCCCTGTGAAAAGCAAGATCAACATTGCCATATGTTCTCTTTGCTTACAGATATGAACAATGAGTACAGCCTTGGCAACTGGTGTCTCTCTTCAGCAGTACTCTTATATTTTGAGCATCTCTTGCAAAATAACTGTAACAAGGTTATCGAAATCCGAGACAAAACCTATTCAAACGTAAACTATTTTGGACTAGAAACCAAGGCTTACCCAATTACTCACAAAGAGGATAGCAGCAGGGGTGGTTACTTCAATTTACATTAGTTTGTGAACATCCCCCCTCCCCCAATCAGGCTTTTTTGTGGCAGGCAAATTTACAATTTACACCATCCACAACTTTTTCAAAGGAAACAGAGGTGAGGACAGTGTTTCTGGGCCACTTCATAGAATATGGCAAGAGTTATCAGTAATTCGCAACTTCTATACCCTTGCATGGAGCAATAGCTTCTCTTTTCTCTTCAACTCTCTCACGCCTGTTACATCCAATAGAATCAATAGACAACGTGTGTTGTATGACAAATAAGAACAGCCATACTGAGTCATACCAAAAGTCCATCTAGCCCAGTGTCCTACCTCAGATAGTAAAGCCAGGTTCCCTGGAAGGAATGAACAGAACAGGTGATCATCAAATGATCGGAGCTGCCTGTGATCTTACCCAGCATTGTGAAAGCTCTTCTGTTGGTGTACTGCCATTTCATTTTTAATGGATGCACAATTCCCTGATGTCTTTCCACAGCAATGCAGGTCATCGTCAGAATCTCAGCAACAATTGCAGCAGATTGAACAAACGGTACCATTTTGCAAGCAAAGGCACCTGTGGAGCATGTAACCATGGTGATTAAGAAAAACAAGCAGCCCAGGTAGTTAGTAAAGTGATATTAAGAACAAACTAATTAACTTCCTTGGTATATTTATTTCAAAACCTTGACTTCTAGGAAGTTCCTTTCAAGTATGTGTTACACATGGTTCCTTGCACTCCCATAATATTCAGAGCTATTTGAGATTTTTATCTTTAAATTGCATGAAAAAGAAGAAAGACCTTCTCTGTCCTCTTGCCCAACTCCATAATAACCTAAGATTCTTCCTAAGTGTTTTATTAAGTTTTGTTCGATCTACTTTTAAATGTCCTAAGTTACATGATAGCTACAATATACATATCCCCTGGGAGGTTGTTTTGCAGTCTTATCTATCAGGCTATTTTTCCTGGTATTCATCTGATTTTTTTCTTTTCTTGATCATCTCATAACTTCTAATTATATCCCATTATTTTCCTCCCTCTGAGATGCTTACATCCTCCAAAATATGCATAGCCTTCAGTTGTCCTTTTAGGTACCATTTAGCCAAGCTGTTAGCTTTTCACTCTTAATAGGTCTCTCATAAATCAACACCTTAACTATTTTTTCACTTTTCTAATCTTATTTTATTAGCAAGGCCTTCAGAATTGAATGTAGTATTCTAGTTACCAAAAGCTCACATGGACTTTCCTGAAACAAAAAACATTACATTATGCTTCTGTAAAGCTGGCCCTAAAGAATTGTACTTTGGTTTTTATTGCTGCTCTAATTAATTGTGAATACATATTAATTTGAAACCTGCTATTATTTAGTCATTCTGAATTGTTGATTTTTACTATCTCCGAAAATATAGTTATAGTTTGGATTATTCCTTCCCACATGTATTCCCTTATATTAACCTCTTCCCAAACTGAAACTTGTCATTGTCAGTCTAATACTTCTAATCCTGAGGTCATTGTCCTTAACTCTCCCTTCTTTGGAATAATTTGTAATCCCTTAAATAATTGCCATATTCTCTTTAGATCATTAATAAAAGTGGTAGGTTCTTTTGTTTTTGCAAACTGCATGCAGGTAAATCTGGGTACAGTCCCAATAAAGCCAAGAAAATTGCATGGGAGAAACTGAGAACTGTATTGCTTTCCCTGCATGTTTGACCAGCAGACTTACCCGGCGTTGCCCAGGTCCTTCAGGGAAGGGGGCTGGTGGTGTGCAGGAGAAGGGGGCAGAAGTCAGGGCAGGGCCCTAGGGATATGAGGGGAGTGCAGGAAAAAGGGGGCAAAGTACAAGAGTGAGGGTTGGAGGGTGAGGAGGCGTATGAGTGAGGGTTGGGGGGTGAGAAGGGGCTCAGGGCACGAGGTCCCATGTGGCATGGGACCTTTTCTCTCCCTCCCTGTCCACCAGGGGCCTTTTCTCTCCCCCAGCGTGGTCCCTCACAACCTCCCCCAGCTGCCAGTTACATTTTCTTCCTTCTCCCCCCACCCCCGCCAGTACAGCCTCCCTCCACACATCAGGGCCTTTTTCCTCTCTCACCCCAGCATGCCTCTGGCCATCAGGGCCATTTTATCTCCCCTCTCCACAGTACATCTCTTCCCCACATCAGGGTGTTTTGTTCTCCCTCCCCGCCCCCCCAGTGCATCTCCTTCCCCACCTCCCAAAATGTTTTGTCTCTCCTTGTGTCTCACTCCCCTCCCCCACAGTCGCCAGGGGCATTTTATCTCCCCCGTCCCACTGTGCCTTGCCCCTGCCCTGGCTGCCAGGGTGGTTTTCTCTTGCTCCAGTGCACCTCACAGCTGCCAGGAAAATTTCTCTCCTCAAGTCCCCCACCTTGGCTGCCAGATGCCTTTTTTTCTGCTCCTCTCCCTCCCCCACAGCTGGCCCTTGGCACTGCAGCCATGGGCCAGAAAGGGGGGAAAGGGTTTGGGGCAGGAAGGCTACTTAGTCAGTCAGCTGGTGGAACCCACACACCTACTGAATGTGGTTCACTATCCCATATAGTGGCACTTAAACCACTTACAGAGAGAAAAGAATGAGTTTGCTCTACAGCCTTAGCTGAGAGAGATCTGGCTTTATAGTTCAAGCTGTAGAGACTCATGCACTAAGCTCCAGAGGCTGCAGATTCAGGTCTGCCAGTCAGTGTTATGCTGGGGGGCAAGATGGAGCCCCAACACTGCTGTCCACTCCTTTAGTGTACAGTTGCCCCCACTGGCCACTCTCATATCATGCGTCTCTGAGCAGCAGCCCATCCCTTTGCATGTTATGGGAAACAGTCCTTTCCATGGGCTTCCAGTTGACCTGGTACAACCAAACCGTGACCTTGTTTTTAAGATAGGAGAAGAGGAAACTACATAACAAATTTGGTGGCCCTGGCTGTTGTTACAGATTAGGAGCAATACTTGAACAAATGGACTCACAGACAGGCACACAGACAGACACTCTAAAATATATAGAGATTTGTTTCAGAATTAATTGTAAAAGAGTGTCTAAGTGCACATTACACAAACAATGATACACAGAAAACAAGGGAGGGGAGTGAGAAGAGAAATCAAACCAAGGTTCAGTCCTGCCCTCTGCTGTGCAAAGTGGTGATGGGAACAGGTATGGGGAACTTCCCCAAATGGTGTACAGCAGGGGTTCTAAAATTTTTTGACATGGGGACCAGTAAATCCATTCACGAGCTTAAGCAAATGATGAACATGCAAAAAAATTGTTTCTCGTCCTCCCAAAGCCCCCAGTGCCAGCTTTTAATACAGTCACCTACAGTATTCTTGTCAGCAAGTTAAGGGAATATGGATTGGATAAATGGGCTGTAAAATGGATAGAAAGCTGGCTAGACCAGGGTTTCCCAAACTTTTTACTTTAGTTGGAACCCCTTTTTTTTCAGTACTGTTTTCTATAGCCCAAAACTATAAATACATATAAAAAAAAGAATGAAAAATGAATACATTTTCACTGTTTATTATTTATTCACAATAATAACAGTATGTAATATAAATCTTGATATAAAATACTGCCTAACTTATTACCTTAATTACAATTTAACCAGTAGAATTTTAACAGTTGTAAAGTTTATTTATAAGTGAATGAGTTGAATATAAGTCATTTATTATGTGTGCACTTATAGCTTTTAAATAACTAAAAAGAGAACTAATGTGAAGGATGATGTTGTTTTGCATCACATAGCAACTTTGTCAGGAGCAAAAGAAGAAAGTTTTATCCTCAAATCTGGTTCGACATTCAACCTATTTCTATATTTATTTTTGAGAAAATAGTTTCACACTTATATGTCGTGATGAAAGGCATTAAGAATTTGACTGCTTTCTCAGTTAAATGTGAATATTCATTTCTACAGCTCAACCAAAAATCAATCAAGGATTGTTTATCAAAGTTCTCTTTTAAGGCAGAGTCACAGGAAAGTTCAATTAATGAATCCAGTACTGATGCATTCAATTGTAATATTTCTTCATTTTCGGTGTCAACAGTAAACAGGTTCTTTATTGGCATCAATTGGAGGAAAATATTCATTTAAGCTTGATGTTAGCCCCAAGAGATGTTCTTGGATTGCTGCAGAAATCACATCTGAGATATAAGATTCAGCGTATTTCTCTTGTAATTCAGTTAAGTACAAAAAGATTTAAAAGCAACAAGGAGTCCTGTGGCACCTTATAGACTACAGATGTATAGACTGTTATAGACTAACAGATGTATTGGAGCATAAGCGTTAAAGATTTAAAGTTTTAAATTTTAAAAGATTTAAAGTTTCTCTTGTTAACTCACTGTGCCCATCAACAAAGTTTTTTAATCGTTGCCTGAACTTTTTTGTGAATTTTGAAAATATTAATTTTAGTACCTTGTAAATTCAAACTTAAGTCATTTAAAAGACAAAATATGTCACATAAGTAAGCCACAATTGTTAACCAATCAAATTCATGAAAACTGTCTTTAAATGTAAATATAACATATTTTGCCAATGGAGGGTGTTGCTCCAAGGACAATAAAACTTCATCCTTCATTTCAAAAAGTAGTTTCAAAATGTTTCCTTTCGACAGCCATCGAATCTCACAGTGTAAAAAGAGATGCTCATGTTCACTTCCTATTTCGTTGCACAAAGCAGTAAAGATTCTGGAATTCAAAGGATGAGATTTTATATAATTTATAAACGTCACACATTCTTGAAGAGTGGAACTCAAAAGTGATGGCATAGTTTTCACAGCAAATGCCTCTCTGTGAATACTACAATGCACCCTTACACAGTCTGGCGCTACAGCTCGAATCCACAGGACAAGCCCAGTGCGAGACCCTGCCATTGCTCGAGCCTCATCATTGCTCGGTCCAACACATTTTTTCCAGGTAATATTGCTTTAAATAATAAAATCATCGATTATCTTAAAAATTTCAGCAGCCGTTGTACTTGTTGGAAGTGGTTTACAAAATAAGAGATCTTGAATGGAGCTTTCGTAATCATATCTAACAAAACACATCAAATTGGCAGCATCAGCTATATCAGTGCTTTCATCCACTTGTAATGCAAAAAACTGACTATTCTGTATTCAATGTATGAGAGTTTCCTCAGTATTTTTCACCATATCTTCAATTCTACGTTTCACTGTACTGCTGGATAAAGACAGCGAACCCAACTGATTTCCTTTTTTTCCTGCAGGAAAATGCAGGAAGTTTTAACTTTTTGCCAACAGTATGTGGATAACCTGTCTCGGCTATTTGTTTTGAAACTTCATATGAAGCCAACACAAAGTTTTCATTTGAAGAGCACATAGAAAATGCAGTTTTCATGCTTTTTTTTAGCAAAAGATAATTCATTTCTTTTATTTATGGAAAAAATCTATGGGCTTACTTGCACATTCTGGATGTTTGCATTCCAAATGGCGTTTCAGTTTTGATGGTTTCATGCACTCACTGGATAGTTCTGCATGACCGATTATACATAATGGCAAGTGATTATTACTACCAACACTTATAAAACCAAATTTCAAATACTCGTAGGAACAATTGCGGGTCCAAGGAG